GGGTGAGGCGGGGCGGGGTGGCTCTTCCTCGCGCCCCATCAGTGCCTCCCCCGCCCCGCCCGCACGGACCCCGCCACGATGACCACACGATATGGGATTACATCGGCCCGAGCGCGGGAAGGACGCGGACACGATCACGAACTACGAGGAGGGACGCGCACCGGGCGGCGGCAGGGGGCCGCCTCGGCTCTGGTCGGGCGTACAGCACCAGCGGGGGCCTCGCAGCCACATTAGGTGTTACATTCTTATCATCCGCTACTTTTCTCCACGATGTGATATTGTGAAATAGTTACACCGGTCGCGTTTCGAGCACACTCCCGCGAGTCACGTGCTCGCTTCGTGTAGGTCGGCGGGCCGGCAGGCGGTCGCCTCCGCCCCAAAAAGCAAAGGGAATCGGTTGCAGTAATGAGGCGCCAGGAAGGAGAGAAATGAAAAAAAAAAAAGAAAAAAGGAAAAAACAGACACACACACACACGTGTTCAGCCGCGGTCCCCAGGGGTCCATAGCTGACCGGTGGTCACCGGCTGGGCCAGCGAGGCAGGGGTCGCGCGCGCGGCGCCGCGCATTGCGATGCAGGTCCTTGTTCTGGCCTTGCCTTTTCCTCTTATTTTATTTCTCTTTCCTTTTTTTCCTTTTTATTTCTTGACCCTCAATACGTGCGAGCGAGGCAGCCGTCCCGGGCAAACGGGAGCACCAGCCCCGTGATCAGGCGGGGATACCGTCGCCAGGAGGACCGCGGCATCGGCTGCCCCCGTCGGAGCAGCGACGGCTGCATCACGGCCAAAGGCCAAAGGGAAAAACAAGAAAGGACTAAAAATTAAAACAAAATAACAAATTAGGATTTTCCCGAGATTTTTCGCTATGACACAACGACAACGGATTACAATTTTTAAAGGTTTCCAAAAAATATGAGTGAGATGACGCGCGAAGGTAACTCTTTCTCTCTCTCTCTCTCTCTCTCTGCAGACGCATATGCCAGTCGGAGGCGCAGAACCAGACGTGATCTGACTGTTACGGGAAGGAGAGAACGAGGCGTGGAAATGACGTGGTGTGTCGGGGCGTGGCGTGGCGTGGCGTGGCGTGGCGCAGCCGAGGAGACTCCCCTTTGAACGTCATCTCTCCTGGTGTCGAATAAAGATGAGCGGACCACAAAACGGGAGCGCCTCCTCTCTTTTTCTCAAATCGCTGCCGCTATAGAAGGGTGGTGGCTGGTGCGGGGCGGCCGGGCCAAAGGGAGAGAAAGGGGGGGGGGGGAGAGGCGTGCATATAAAAAGGGGTGAAGGGGTTGTGCGCGCAGCACGTGGTTTACGCAAGGTCCCCGCGCGGCGGCGGAGCGGGAGAAGGGGATGGGGTGGTCGTGGTGCAGCATGGTGCGGATACTCTGAAGATGCAATCAATTTGTATCTGGCCCTGTCTGTCGAAGCTCCCCACGAAGACGACGTTCTCTCTCTCTCTCTCTCTCTGCTCCCTCCGGGGGCGGCTGCCGGCCGTGTTTGCACATGCATATGGAATGCGCTCACATCCTCCCCCGCGCCCGGCGGAATGATCGGAAACATTAAACCCCGGCCTGGATGGTCCGCACACGCCCCCCTCCCTCCCTCCACCCCTCCGCCCAGCAGCGGCCAGTATCTTCTGCCGGGTTATGGCTGGAAGGGACGGCAGAAGAGAGCGAGAGAGAGAGAGAGAGAGAGAGCATCCCGCAAGAGCAAGAGACTCACCACGAAATAAATTCAAAACTAAAATAAAGTCACCCAGTGCTGCGTGTGCTAAATGAAGTATAACCTGGTCGCGACTCACAGAAAAGCATTACATTCCCACCTCTCGGAGTTTTGGATTCTAGTCCTCGTTGCTCTTTCGTACTCGTGGCGGGACGGGGTGGCGTGGGGTG